TCTTGTGTCATCCCTACAATGCCAAAGATGTGGCTGGTGTATTTGTCAATGAAATTGTGAAGTTTCATGGATTCCCACAATCCATCATATCTGATTGCGACAGAATATTTATAAGCCAGTTTTGGCAAGAACTTTTCAAGGTTGTTGGCACCACACTTAAGTTTAGTTCTGCCTACCATCCGTAGACTTATGGCCAAACAGAAGAAGTTAATTGATGCTTAGAGGCTTATTTACGATGCTTTTGCAGTTTCCAGCCGAGGCAGTGGCTAAAATAGCTTCCTTGGGCTAAGTTTTGGTTCAATACTACTTATTACAATTCCACTAAAATGGCCCTCTTTAAAGCTTTATATGAAAGAGATCCACCCACTTTCCTTAAATTTACTGATTGTCCTTCCATGATTGAATATGTGAACCAACAAATGTTGGAAAGAAATTCAATCCTGAGAGAGCTCAAGGACAAACTCACAGTAACCAAAGGCCATATGATAGAGATGTTGATCTACACCGTAGAGATATCATTTTCAACTAGGAGACTTTGTGTACTTGAAGCTCCAACCCTACAAGTTTAGATCCTTGGCACGAAAACTTAATAAGAAGTTAAGCCCTCGGTTCTATGGTCCCTTTGCAGTCTTAGAAAGAATTGGTCAAGTTGTTTACAAACTGGAGCTGCCTCTCATTGCTCACATTCATCCAATTTTCCATGTTTTACAACTCAAACGTAGCCTGCACAACTCTGTTCCTATACAGCCCTTTCCTAAATTTTTGAATGAAGACTTTGAGCTCCTTGATCAACCAAAATCAATCCTCTCAATACGTACTCTCTTAGATAAGTCTCAAGAGATCCTTATTCAATGCAATGATCTTCCCACCTTCAAAGCTACTTGGGAATTGTATGATGTGGTCAATTTCCAATATCCTCACTTTCACCTTGAGAACAAGGTGGTTTTTGTGAAAAATGATAGAAAATGACAGTAAGGTGAGTCTCATAGTTCATGAAAGAGTTGGTTTAAGGGATCATCCACATGGAAGGAATTGGAAGAGCATTAGTGTGGGAACAGTTAGTGGCTCGAGTAACAAATTGTATATAGATGAGTAGAGTCTAGGGAAAAGGCAAGTTGTTTTCTAAAAGGGAATTGTGGGATGTACCTAGCTCCTCAAATTGCTAGGAACTATCTTTTCTTGCTTATTTTGCTCATTTGTTCTTACTTTGTTCTCCTATTCTTAATCTTTGTTGAATACTGATCAATACAATATAGAGGTTGTTTCTTGTTATCTAGTGTTTGGTGTTGGATTGCTGATTTCGATTTAATTTATTTAGGAGTTCCCATCAATACCTCTCTCTAATATTCACCATAAAGCATCTCATAACACTCTCACACTAGTTAATGATCGACGGACCTCTATAATGGTCAATCCAAACATTAAAACACTAAGAACAATTGTTTGTTATTGAATTAGTGGAAGATGAGTTGTCAAATAGATGTCTAGACCAATGTTTTACAGGTATTTTAGTCAAGTATTGATACCTTGCAAGATTGATCTTCTTTATCTTCTCCATAACCTTATCAAAGACAACTTTGTTTGATACTCTGGTTGCATCCTAGAAAATATTTTGGTAGTTTATTGGGGGCCACTTTCTCCTAAAGTTGGCATGGATATGCCTCACACATAATCGAAGATTAATCCCAAGCCATCTCAACTCTAAGGCACCAATAATTCCTTTTGGTCGATCACTCATAAACATATAGCGCTTGTTCTCTTCCCCAATGAACTCTTTCAACAGCCTCAAAAGCCATCTCCAACTATGAATATTCTCACTCTCACAAACACAAATGGCAAATGAGAACACACCATTTTTTACATCTCTTGAAATAGTGGACAATAGAATACCCTTGAAATGACGTTTTAAAGTACCCTCGTCAAGTCCAGTAAATGACCGATGTCCAGTCATAAAACCAATCTTAGCAATAGGCAAAGCCATAAACAACCTCCAAAAAAAAGCTGAGTCCTTTGGTTCTGTCTTCATTTTCACCATGTCAACTAGTAGAATCCAATACCATATAGGCATACTTATTCAATCTCAGAAAATCCCCCACATAATCACCACCCATGTTATATAAATTCAAATTCTTAGCCCTTTATATCATGTGGATGTTGACATCAACTTTATAATCAGTTTTTAGCTTCATTTGAAGTGATTCGTACGAAACATTTGGCATTGCATCTCTCTAATAGTGGGCTCTAGCTTTCTAGCACACCAAGGAGCAATTCCTTCTTTAATAATTGGACATTTTTGGAAAATATGTTTACCCTCATATTTGCTTGCGTACCTAACATAAAAAAAAATGTTACTTCTTCAGTCACCCATGGAAATGCCCTTGGGGGTGTGATGATGGACTTAAAGGGTTGCTTTCTCAACTGGATTAACTTGTATATAGAAGTGAACCTCAAATTTATCATATTCATCAAAAAATGTGCATTTTGAAAGTCTTCATCAGTCTTCAAATGATGATAGTGATTTGACCAGGGTACATAAACAACTCTAAGTTTTCCTTGTCGTGGATGATTGGGTCATTTGAGCTCAACAATTTTGCTTGTGAAAGTAAATGAACAACACTAAATTCATTGGTGTCAATAGTTTTTCTTTGTGCAACTGAAAGCAGATGATCTTCTCTTTGACTAGGTTACTTCTCTTTAGTCGAGTTAATGTAGCTATGCTATTCCTAGTCTTGATCTCTTCTCTGAACTCTGGTAAAACAACTAGTTAACAACAACTTAGGTTGAATTCCTGCTTGTAGTGATAGGGCAGGCTCACTCGACCAAGAGGGAGCTTTCGCTTCCTTTTAGGTCCTATGTTCATCATAGGTGACAAGTGAAGCAATAAAAGCACGGTGTCGAGGGAAGCCAATAAAGTAGTCTTCACTAAAAATGTGCAAGTGCAACCATACATTAAATGGAACAATTTCACAACTTGCACACCCAACCAAACATAATGGTTTACTCATTCATTCAAATAATATTCAACTATTTCCATTGCATCAACAACAAATCAAAACAGAATATAAAAAAAGGTATCTCACAGGGTCGTTTGGATCAGGGGTATATAAGAAAATGGGGGTAATCTTCGTTTATTCTACAAGATTTATGTGTTTAGTTTGCAAGTAATAAAATATTACGGTAATCTTTTATTACAAATAGTGTTTACTGTTGATAACATGGGGGGGTAATCTTATGGATATTATTAAAAAATTATTGAGGTAATCTAATTTTTCTACACATTTTGCCGTTAATTGAAAACTATTTCGGACACAATGGCCCTCAAATGTCTACCAAATAACAATTAAGCCCATCTCCCCTACATTTGAGAAATTAGCCAAAACACCACAGCCACAAAAAAGTTTAAAAGTTAACAAAATACCCCCAGTCACCCAAGACCACCGCCGGCCGTGACTCACCACCGCTAGTCACCAGTGTCAGTCACCATAATGGCGCACAATCGACGAGATCTAGCTAGTCATGTGCCAGTAAAGCCTTTTTCGCCATGGCTTGAAACGGCTAGATCTAGTGTTTCTATGGTTATTTCACGGCCACAGATCTGGCATTTTCACAGCCACATCTTTGGCCGTGAAATAGCCATTGATCTAGCTATTTTTCGGCCATGGATTTGTGATCTATGGCCATTTTTGGCTTTGCTGGCGCACGACCAACCATATACGGCCAGTCGTGCGCCATTCTGTCAACTATGGACAACAACCGGTGGTGGTAGCTGGCTGCTGGCAGTGACTTAGGGTGGGTGGGGATGATTTTGCTACAAATTAAAGTTTGATATGACTGGGGTGTTTTAGCAAAAATTCAAATGTAGGGGGTTAAAAGAATGATTCAAAAAATAACAATAATAAATACTATTATATTAATATTTAAAAATGAGGGCAATTTAGTAATCTATATAACATATCCACTCATTTATCCTCCCAACCAAACATATTATTCACCAATTTATTCGAACCAACCAAACACATTTTCTAAACATTCCCAATAATCTTCAATGTAATATTTCTTTCCGTTAATATAATATACCATTATAATAAAATATTATATGATTCAAACGCCCTACATAACTTAATAACTTTAACATAAACCAACCAATAAACTATCTTATTCTCAACAAGTTGAATATGACATTTTTCGAGCAACATTATTACACGAACAAAGACACAATATAATAAACAACCACCAAAATAATATATATATGGGGGTTTTCTAATATAGGGATAATTATTTTTGTTTGCGTCATTAGGGATAAAAGTGCAACCAAAGGTACAAAAGGTTTTTTCAATTTAATTTTATTAATTGTCAATCACAATCATTTANTCGTATTCTCAACAAGTTGAATATGACATTTTTCGAGCAACATTATTACACAAACAAAGACAGCATATAATAAACAACCACCAAAATAATATATATATGGGGGTTTTCTAATATAGGGATAATTATTTTTGTTTGCGTCATTAGGGATAAAAGTGCAACCAAAGGTACAAAAGGTTTTTTCAATTTAATTTTATTAATTGTCAATCACAATCATTTACCTATTTATTCACTTTAAAAAAAATGTTAAAAACACCCAAAACTAATTTTATTGATGAAATTATCTAATACAATTTTAAAAATAAAAATTGAATCGCACTATCTAAAATGGTTATGCTTAAAGTAGACAATATTTTAATTTCATTACTTTGCTTATATAATACTTTGATTGTTCATGGGGTAGCTTCCTTCATCATTAGTAATTATTTTTTAAATCAAGTTGTCACAATAATTGTAGACACTCATTGTGTGAAATTATAAATATCACCAAAAAAAAATTGGATCCCATTCTATTTGCAATTATGTTATAAAGAATAAATCATCTCCTAGTTAAGTTCTTAAAATCATATTTAGTTATTGTTAAATAAAGTATATAAATGTCAAATTACTCTATTATCCTATCAATTGATATGAAAAATAGAGAGCACAAGAATGATTTATTATGAGAATGAGAGGAAGAGCAGGGGGTACACTAGGTATAAACCCCAAATCCACCAAAAAAAAAAGAACTCACTTAGGTTTTAAGCTCTTCGCTAACACTACATACATTTTGGCCAATTCTACCTTTCTTATCTGTACAATCCTCTACTTTCCAACGACACAAATCACAAAACTAAATCATTGAAATGCAAAACCTTACATAAAGAGGAGGAGAAAGAAGAAGAAGAAGAAGAAGTAGAAGAAATTGAGACGATGACGATGACATGCCACGAATGGCTTCATACAGCGATGCATGCTGAGAGGCGCCCTTTCTGCAATTTAAGATAAGCACAGCGCTAGCTAGCTTGTTGGCAAGCTCCCAAGTTAAGCAATGCATTTTGTCCCCACGAGACATTTCTGCAGAAGAATAGTTATAAAGATGGATAAACTGAGTGTATATTATTCAGGCTTTTTGAAATGTGCGGGACGAAACGCCGTGTAGAAGTCGAACAAATCCCAAGAAACTAAGCTTTCCGTCGGAGTGCCTGATCCAGTCTTGGAGAACAACATGAACAGGTACTGATGGACTAAGTCCAAGCTCCTGGTAAGAAAAGCAAATTACTAGAATCAATACCACATTCCATTTGGAGGATACAGCAGGAGATTTGACTGAAAATTTACTTAATGGCACAAATAAACGAAAAACTTAATAGCATAAATATTTTGACCCAGTAGTTCCTCCAAGAATTAGCGCCCGTTTCTGTGATCAACTAATTCTGCACCAACTAATCTTTATGTTGCTTTGGCACATTGTACTGGACTGAATTAGTTTCTTCGAACTGCTTGCATAATCCAGTGTAGGAGAAGGATTTGAAGGTCCAAATACGTAAAAATAGTGTATCATAACAAATGGCCTCGTTTGGGAGCCTATACTGGACCTAATTTATTTCTTTGAACTGGATGCATAATCCATAATGTAGGAGCAGAATGTGAAAGCACAAATGAGTAAATGCATGATCAGAACAAATAATTTCACTCATTTGATCCTTCAAATCTTGCTCCTACACAGTCTATTTAGGCATTTCTTCCAACACTATTTTTCTTTACATAGTCCAATCCAGGTCCAGGGTGAAAGCACACCAAACACATGCATAAAGTCATATAATGCAAACCTGTTTTTCTGTTGTCCAATCAGCAAAACAAACGTGCCCTTAAGCTGATAAACATGCCTTTACGGTGCATTCATTTTGCAGGTCTAGACAACAGTAAATTAACCTCTTGACTGCATTAAATGATTTTATACTTGTGTTTGAAATGTCCTCACTTTGGGATTGGATTGGTTTTAAACTAGAAAATAGCGTTATGTAGAGGGGAATATATAGAAACATGAGAAAGGCAGGTTTATCTATCATAACGTAAAGAGAACAATGTACCAACATAACTAACTTGGGCTGATCATTTATTATTATTGTTGTTTTATTTTTTTAATAATTATTCGTTATTTAAATTAACTTTAATTAGATTATTAGTGGCATTTGAGCTTATTTTTTATAGTACAGTAAGTTTCGCTGCTACAACAAACACAGTATATAAAACAGACAGAGAGAGAGAGAGGGAGAGCATACTGATGCAAGTTCCTCTATCATTATTGGTCTGTTGCCATCCTTCTCAAACAACTCATAGGCATGCCTAGCATGTTGCTCCCAAGTCTCCATTCCTTCCAGCTGATGCACACTTATGGCCGCAGCACAAAATTCTTCAAAATCCAGTTTTCTATATTGAAGAGAACTGATCTGCAGTGTACAAGATTTGATAATCAGCCATTGTCTTATTATTTTAACTGCCTTGCAAGTATATCAAATGATCTTTGTGAGCATTTACCATGCTGGCATAGTCTAGAACCCGTGAGTCCTTCATGGCATCGGTGGAGTACTTTGTCACAGCCTGCTAAGTCTAAAACTTTTTAGATTATCTTAAAAACTATAAAAGATTCAAAAAGACAAAGATCATAAAAAAGAGCTGACCGTCTTATAGTTTTGCATAGATATGAATCCACTTTTGTTTGGGCCCAACAATGTAAATTGTTCCCGAAGATAAGCTAGCTGAGCCACTGTTAATGTCTTTGCAAGAGCCTGTCACCATAGAACAATTCATTCATTGCTATCAGAACTTGTATCAAGAAAGATATTCAGAAAATGTAGCAGCAGTTTCCTCTCTATATTTATGACTCTCCAACAATGTAATTGACATGAATTTCGTTGTCACTCCCTCAATTTCCATTTGAGTGTGACATCTAATTTCTACTGTTTAGTAATAGAAATTTACAAGAATAAAACATTAACATATATTACGAAAAACAACTAATTAGGAACTAACGAAATGATTAGGATAACCAACCAGTTGTCAGGTATAACCACACACACACACACATATATATATGTATTTATGTATGTATTTTGCCTAGGAAAAGAAAAAGAAGAAAATATTATGACAACAAAATTAATCCAACTTACCCCTAATGCTGCTTTTCGTAATGAAGAAGAAGCTATATAAGCTTTTACAAGCTTGTATACTATCATATCTGATGGTATCTTCACATCATGATAATTGGCCAGCCATGGATGACCTGAGCATATCCCAGAACAACTTCAGTAAACAAGAATATGAATAGTTATGGGGACTCAGTACAGATAAAAGAGAAACAATAAGGGGGACCTCCCTCGTCTCTCTCAACAATTGCATTGTTTCACAAACCAAAATTGATCCAAAAAAGATGAAACTCAAGGTGCCAATTCTCAAAGAAAGTTTTCACTACAAGTGCATGGATAAACAAGGTAATTGGTTAAAGAGTGATTAAATCAGTGACTTACTCAGAGCTTGCGCAGCAGTTAGTCTTTTCCGGTAGTCCTTGTTTAACAATCTCTTCACAAAATCAATTGCCTCAGGGGATAAAGAAGGCCAAGGGGCTTCATCAAAGCTTGGATCTGCTTTAAGGACAGCTCGGAAAATGCCAGACTCTGTTCGAGCCCAAAAAGGCCGACTTCCACACAGAAGAATATAAGCTATGACACCAATACTCCACATATCAGCTTCAGTCCCATATGATCTATGTAGTACTTCAGGAGCTACATAATATGCACTTCCTACGATGTCATTCAGCCTCTCATCTGTAAAAGATTCCAACTGTTAAACCCCCTAAACTACATTTTCAACATAAACTAGCTAGGGAAATCTCAGGTAGTGGTTCTGACCTGGCTTTACATAATCGGAGAGTCCAAAATCAATGGCCTTCAGGGGTGAATTCTCATCTTTAGAAGTAAAAAGAAAATTCTGAAACAGCAAATAGAACACCATTAGAAAATGAGCATATCTTACAATGTAGTGAATATATATAAGCTGGAAGAGGAATCAGTGAGAAGGAAAGTGAACATTGGAACTGCAAACCACAAACTACATTTTCAGTTTTCGATTCCAGTAATTGATCAGTTTCTAAGCTTAGATGACAATCCTTCTTAGATTGATGATTGGTGCTAGTTTGTTTAACTTAAAATTTTTTATTTGTTATCAATTTGATTTTCATAATTTATGCTAGACTTATTTTTGTTTTCAAAGTGTTAGAAAAGGTAAAATTTGATCATAAGGTGTGTTTTTACAAATTTCCAATAAGTATAAAATGAGAATCCTCATGAGTTAGTTACCTCAGGCTTGAGATCACGGTGAACCACACCTTGGAAATGACAGAAGGCCACCACACTTAAAATCTGAACCATAACAACTTTTGCATCTTCTTCTGTATATTTTCCACCCCTAGAGAATACAGATGGAAATTAAGCGACAGTTAGAAGGTAAGCAAACAGACCAGGTATTTACCATAAAGAGAAAAGTAGGAAAACTGTGGGTACCTTGACAGTATTCTATCCAATAGTTCGCCACCTTTGCACAACCTAGAAACATCAAAGACCAGAAAGGTTAAGCGACAAACAAAGTTCAAAAACTTAAAAATTATAGTTTCCAATACTTTGCTTAAATTGAATTAAAAAATTTTAAGCATCCAATCAATCTTTCTCATTAGTTTTAGAGAAAATAAAAATGCGTCAAGACGAAAAAGGAAAGGGTATCAAATAACCAAATAAGTTAGCAAGTGTCACTGGAAGACCCTTGTTCACCCCAGTGAATATTAAAAGATCAAAGGTCAAGTATTTTGAACATGCAAGGATCACTTAGCCGGCCAATCTTCATTTTTATAAAAGGAATAATCGATAGGCCGTGTCAAATCAAATTCAGTATTTCAACTGAGTGGAGTTGAGATCAAGATTTCTAGTAGGCCAACGTAAAAAAGAGATCCAAATCCCATTGATAATTGGGTTGACCAAATGCAGTGAAAGCCAGTATGAGTAGTTAACATTTGCATACATATACACATAATTCCATTTGTTGAAATTTTGGTATTTATCTCAGAAGCCAAGAAGCAATAAGTTTGTCCAAGTCCTTGTATTGCAATCATGGACCATTAACTTAAAATGATTACTAATGAAACAGGTTAATCTGTAAATTAAGATATTGATGAGGTAACTTAAACTTACTCCATTATTATATAAACATTGTCATCATCTTCATAAGCATCATAGAACTGTACTAGGTTTTTATGCCCTGTCAGAGCCCGTAATATCTTCACTTCCCTTCTTACATCCTCTATGGCGATCGCAGTCGTCATCTGTCAAACATTAACATACAATTCATTGGCTCTCACTTTCAAACAAAAGGAAAAACACTAGTATCTACGACTTGTGATTCTACTTAGTCCCCAGTGATCTAGAAGGAAAGTGACTCCCTCAAAGATCCTTCTTGTGAGAAAATAATTAGTAATCTGGAGAAAACTACAAAGTCGTTACTCTAGGTTGGACTTATGATATAAAATTAAAATTAACTAATGCTTTCCCAAAATTAAACTTAAACAAACAAAAAAATCCAGATTTTTTTTTACTTTAAAAAGAGCACGTAGGCCCTGGATTGTTGTCACATTGCATAAATATATAAATAGAGAACTATTGATGATGAGATGATGATGATATCAAGGTTTTAAATCAGAAAAAAACACCATTTCTCTTGAAACACACTTATATCCACTAAAAAGATGCTCATAATGTAAAAGTTAGCGGAACATACAACGTCCCCAAGAAGATAAAATCCAAAATTACTTCAAAGGCACCCCTAAAACCCCTTCAACAAATCAAACAGGTAGCAAAAAAAATTAAAATCCAACCACTTTCAAAGAAAAAAAAAAGAATTTTCGGTAAAATTTTACGCAAAAACAAAGGAGAGAGAAATTCAAAATCATCTGACATGAAGCAACAAGTATTTAGATCAAACATTGCTAAACTAGATTATTCAATTGACAAACATATCTACATTTGGAAGAACATGCAATTAAAGGTAATTGACATGAATTTCGTTGTCACTCCCTCAATTTCCATTTGAGTGTGACATCTAATTTCTACTGTTTAGTAATAGAAATTTACAAGAATAAAACATTAACATATATTACGAAAAACAACTAATCAGGAACTACCGAAAAGATTAGGATAACCAACCAGTTGTCAGGTATAACCACACACACACACACATATATATATGTATTTATGTATGTATTTTGCCTAGGAAAAGAAAAAGAAGAAAATATTATGACAACAAAATTAATCCAACTTACCCCTAATGCTGCTTTTCGTAATGAAGAAGAAGCTATATAAGCTTTTACAAGCTTGTATACTATCATATCTGATGGTATCTTCACATCATGATAATTGGCCAGCCATGGATGACCTGAGCATATCCCAGAACAACTTCAGTAAACAAGAATATGAATAGTTATGGGGACTCAGTACAGATAAAAGAGAAACAATAAGGGGGACCTCCCTCGTCTCTCTCAACAATTGCATTGTTTCACAAACCAAAATTGATCCAAAAAAGATGAAACTCAAGGTGCCAATTCTCAAAGAAAGTTTTCACTACAAGTGCATGGATAAACAAGGTAATTGGTTAAAGAGTGATTAAATCAGTGACTTACTCAGAGCTTGCGCAGCAGTTAGTCTTTTCCGGTAGTCCTTGTTTAACAATCTCTTCACAAAATCAATTGCCTCAGGGGATAAAGAAGGCCAAGGGGCTTCATCAAAGCTTGGATCTGCTTTAAGGACAGCTCGGAAAATGCCAGACTCTGTTCGAGCCCAAAAAGGCCGACTTCCACACAGAAGAATATAAGCTATGACACCAATACTCCACATATCAGCTTCAGTCCCATATGATCTATGTAGTACTTCAGGAGCTACATAATATGCACTTCCTACGATGTCATTCAGCCTCTCATCTGTAAAAGATTCCAACTGTTAAACCCCCTAAACTACATTTTCAACATAAACTAGCTAGGGAAATCTCAGGTAGTGGTTCTGACCTGGCTTTACATAATCGGAGAGTCCAAAATCAATGGCCTTCAGGGGTGAATTCTCATCTTTAGAAGTAAAAAGAAAATTCTGAAACAGCAAATAGAACACCATTAGAAAATGAGCATATCTTACAATGTAGTGAATATATATAAGCTGGAAGAGGAATCAGTGAGAAGGAAAGTGAACATTGGAACTGCAAACCACAAACTACATTTTCAGTTTTCGATTCCAGTAATTGATCAGTTTCTAAGCTTAGATGACAATCCTTCTTAGATTGATGATTGGTGCTAGTTTGTTTAACTTAAAATTTTTTATTTGTTATCAATTTGATTTTCATAATTTATGCTAGACTTATTTTTGTTTTCAAAGTGTTAGAAAAGGTAAAATTTGATCATAAGGTGTGTTTTTACAAATTTCCAATAAGTATAAAATGAGAATCCTCATGAGTTAGTTACCTCAGGCTTGAGATCACGGTGAACCACACCTTGGAAATGACAGAAGGCCACCACACTTAAAATCTGAACCATAACAACTTTTGCATCTTCTTCTGTATATTTTCCACCCCTAGAGAATACAGATGGAAATTAAGCGACAGTTAGAAGGTAAGCAAACAGACCAGGTATTTACCATAAAGAGAAAAGTAGGAAAACTGTGGGTACCTTGACAGTATTCTATCCAATAGTTCGCCACCTTTGCACAACCTAGAAACATCAAAGACCAGAAAGGTTAAGCGACAAACAAAGTTCAAAAACTTAAAAATTATAGTTTCCAATACTTTGCTTAAATTGAATTAAAAAATTTTAAGCATCCAATCAATCTTTCTCATTAGTTTTAGAGAAAATAAAAATGCGTCAAGACGAAAAAGGAAAGGGTATCAAATAACCAAATAAGTTAGCAAGTGTCACTGGAAGACCCTTGTTCACCCCAGTGAATATTAAAAGATCAAAGGTCAAGTATTTTGAACATGCAAGGATCACTTAGCCGGCCAATCTTCATTTTTATAAAAGGAATAATCGATAGGCCGTGTCAAATCAAATTCAGTATTTCAACTGAGTGGAGTTGAGATCAAGATTTCTAGTAGGCCAACGTAAAAAAGAGATCCAAATCTCATTGATAATTGGGTTGACCAAATGCAGTGAAAGCCAGTATGAGTAGTTAACATTTGCATACATATACACATAATTCCATTTGTTGAAATTTTGGTATTTATCTCAGAAGCCAAGAAGCAATAAGTTTGTCCAAGTCCTTGTATTGCAATCATGGACCATTAACTTAAAATGATTACGAATGAAACAGGTTAATCTGTAAATTAAGATATTGATGAGGTAACTTAAACTTACTCCATTATTATATAAACATTGTCATCATCTTCATAAGCATCATAGAACTGTACTAGGTTTTTATGCCCTGTCAGAGCCCGTAATATCTTCACTTCCCTTCTTACATCCTCTATGGCGATCGCAGTCGTCATCTGTCAAACATTAACATACAATTCATTGGCTCTCACTTTCAAACAAAAGGAAAAACACTAGTATCTACGACTTGTGATTCTACTTAGTCCCCAGTGATCTAGAAGGAAAGTGACTCCCTCAAAGATCCTTCTTGTGAGAAAATAATTAGTAATCTGGAGAAAACTACAAAGTCGTTACTCTAGGTTGGACTTATGATATAAAATTAAAATTAACTAATGCTTTCCCAAAATTAAACTTAAACAAACAAAAAAATCCAGATTTTTTTTTACTTTAAAAAGAGCACGTAGGCCCTGGATTGTTGTCACATTGCATAAATATATAAATAGAGAACTATTGATGATGAGATGATGATGATATCAAGGTTTTAAATCAGAAAAAAACACCATTTCTCTTGAAACACACTTATATCCACTAAAAAGATGCTCATAATGTAAAAGTTAGCGGAACATACAACGTCCCCAAGAAGATAAAATCCAAAATTACTTCAAAGGCACCCCTAAAACCCTTTCAACAAATCAAACAGGTAGCAAAACAAATTAAAATCCAACCACTTTCAAAGAAAAAAAAAAGAATTTTCGGTAAAATTTTACGCAAAAACAAAGGAGAGAGAAATTCAAAATCATCTGACATGAAGCAACAAGTATTTAGATCAAACATTCCTAAACTAGATTATTCAATTGACAAACATATCTACATTTGGAAGAACATGCAATTAAAGGTGCAAAATGATAGCGATTTTGCATCTTGAAAATAAACAGAACATAAACAAAATATCAAAGATCAGAATAAATAATCAAACAATTGAGAAAAATTATAAGACCTTAGACTTAGGAATAACTTTTGCAGCCACATCCTGGCCTTTCAAGCTCCCCTTTTTGGCCTTAGCAGAGCAAGTATATCCAAAATGCCCACGTCCCACTTCCTCACCAAGCTCATAATGAGCCAAAAACTGTTTTGAAAACCCAAAATTCTTGTCCAAACCAATGTCACTCTCATGTCCCTCAGGGATTGAGGCCTCATTAGGCTTCACAGACCCGTGTCTTCTTGCAAGCAACGCCCGGATATGCTTTGCAGGCGAAGGAGGAGGAAAGGGGCGCTTGAAAAGACGCAGAGGAGTGGAATTCACACTTGGTATTGCTGGTGAGTTCTTGAAGAGACTTGGCAATGGACTTGGGCTGTAAAATGGAAAGTTTGAAGATTTTGTGTTGTGGGAATTTGTTGGAGGGTTGTTTTCAAAGGGAAGAGTTGTGTCTTGTTGTGATCTGTTTTGTGGGTGCTCAGTGGGTTTTCCATGACAAAGTCCCATGTTAACAGAAATTCAAGAAAATAAGAGTTCAAAAATCCTCAAGAAAAGGTAAAGACTCAGCCTTGCTGTATTGTGATCAAGAAAGGAGAAGTATTTAAACCATAATAGAAAAGTTGAATTCAAGAGAGAGAGAAATTTGCTTGTTCTAGAACTGAAAATTTTGGATTTTTTCTCTTTTACTACTATCTAACCACTTGATCAGCAAAAACCCAGGAAAGATTTAGACAGTGAATTTGTTAGAAGATCAAATTCAAAGAGGGAAGGAGAACCCAGAAAAGGAAATTAAATAAAACACAAAATAATACAGATAAAAACAAAAGCAACCCAACTTTGCTGATCAAGAAACAATGCCAAATAGAAAGAAAGAAATATCAATAAACAAGAAGCAGAAGAAAAAAGAAAAGAAAAGAAATTAAGCTAACACAAGAGAAGAGAAGAAAGATGAGATGCAATGAAGTGGAAGAAAGAAACAAAATTTACTGAAAAAGAAGGAAAGAATAGAATAGAACAACAAATGAGAAGAGGAGGAGGAGGAGAGAGGGAAAAGAACAGAAGAAAGTGAGGTAAAGATGCTTGGCAGAGGCAACAAGAAAAGGAGAAAAAAGAAAAAGAAAAGAAAAGAAGAACCAAATGCTTTCTTTATTTCTGCTTTTTGTAAGCTTTATTTTTTTTTATTTTTTTTTTTTTAAATGGTGGTGGTGTGGAAATATTACACCATTTAACTTCACCAGCACTTTGGTTTTATTTTTGTTAAGTTAAGAGAAGGAGAAGAGGAAGAAGAAGAGAAAGAGAGAAGAAGATGAATGAATCAATGGATGGCTTGATTGTCTTCTCTCTAATAATTAATGGAAGTGGGGTTGTGTTTTGGATCCTTCCAGCCTGTCTTTATTGAATCAAAAAAACTAAATATTAAAATTAAAATTAAATTTGTGTGTATTTTTCTAATTGTATGTGAACTTTACATTATTGTAAACAGTTAGTTAATGAACTAAACTACTACTACTGTTCTTGTCTTTGTTTGTGTATTTCTCATTTGACTTCCTCTTTTTGAGCTTTGAATGGCTTTTGTCTTTTTTATTGTTATTTATTTCTTTTACATGTTCATAGTTTTTTTTTTCTGGGAAAATAAAAAAAAAAAATTGTTTTCTCGGGAAAATGAAAACGGAGTCTCACAACTCAAACCAAGGCAAGTTCAAATTCAAGAGGGTTTGAATTTAATTATGAAACTTCTTTATTTGAAGACTGATAATAAGTGGAATAACTTTATGGATCTTTTTGAGATGTGATCAATTAAAGGTTTATATTTATGAATTATATCAACAAATTCATTTTCTAATAATAATGTATTTAATTAAACTTCATGCAAATGTATTATTTTAAGATAAATTGATTATGGTATTTGTGAAAGGATTAGTAAATTGTGATTACGATGATTTGACTATAATTATTATTGTGATGACCATGTGATATTATTGTTAAAAGGTGGTCTATGATTTCTTTCACACATATGCAAACCAGCTCATTTTTTTTCTCTATTTTTTTTTTTTTTTTACGCATTGCCTTACTAATACCAGTCTAGTATTGAATTTTTCCCAATCAGTCTCTCTTCCAAGACTTTTGCCAACCTAATCTTGTTGAAATTATACAATCCTTAAAATTATTGTGTTCTCATTGCATCTTCAGATATTCTTTAATAAACTGTTACAATGTTCTAAACTTTATTAAAAAACCCCAAAATGATTTTTTTTTTAATTGGAGTTATTCAAAGCAGTTTACGCATACTTTAACTAATCATTTGGAACTCTGAAATTAACGGTCGGATAATCTCAACCTGGGAAGAGTTGTAGTTGCAAGGGACACCCTTAATTTGTAGGGTAAGTGTGTCTTTTATTTCAAAAGGGGGTTTTGCTCAAAAGTAGGTGAATCTACTTTCATCGTTCAAAAGTAATTAAAGAGGTCTAGTGTTATGGCAATATGGCATTTGCCCACCCTTTAATTATTCCATTAATTTAAATTAATTAGAGAGGTTTTGTTTCTTTAATTCAACTAGATTGATCTATTATCTTCTTCCACCACTTGGATTTCCATTAAGAAGACAATTATAATTAGTGCCTTAGTGGGTAGTCGGCTAATTAATCTTTGATTTGATTACTAATTATATTGATTTATTTAGTTAATTAATTTATAGATAAACTAGGTGGTAACTGTGGATAACTTACAAATGGGATGTTATGTGTTAGGTGACCTATGCTTTCTGGAGTTGCTTTGTTGTAAGTTTGTGTTTGCTTATAAACAATTCATAGTAGAGACTTGACTATTAAAAATTTAAGCAAAAACCCAATTTGGCTCACCAGTTTTGCCAAAATATAATAAAAAATAAGAACCAACTTCTATTTCTTTTTTATATAATAAGATTTCTTGATTACTGTTTTCAAATTATTCATAAACCCATGAAAAAAAAAAAATACTGTTAGGTTTATGGTTTAATCTCACAAATTTTTTTTTTTTTCAAAGATCGGAGGTGTCTGTGTCAGCTTATGCATATCTCAACTAATCCCTCAAGACCTTGGAACTATTAATTGAGTAAAAGTTTTAGTTCAGCTGCTACCCATATTAGCATTTGAGGAATGATTCGAATTCATGACCTCTTGAGTAATACATCCAAGAATTTCTATGGAATCACTCGACCACCCAGAGATAGTTTACACTCACAAAATTTTAGGTTTGAGTTTTCTTATAAACACTAACATAACCTAAAGCTGAAAAGTCATTATTTCTCGTTTTCAAAGACAATAAATTTCAAATAATTCATAACTTTATAAGAGTAGATTATGGTAAATAATTAATACCATAATTGTGACACAAAATAACAATGCATGGTGCATTATAAAAAATGGATATGGTTGTCGCATAATAGTATAATAATAACAAAATTAATTAATTATAAACTTAAAATCTTAAGCCAACTCATGGATTAATCAAACGCTTTGAAAGTAGAAACTTCATATGCAAACAAAATGAAATTTCAATTAAAAACTCAGTAGGATACATACAATAACAAGCAAAGCAAAGCAAGCAATGATTGGGGTTTTGATTTATCAAATTAATTGTATTGATTAAATATTGATTTTTTTTAATTAAATAAAATAATTAAAAAGATTCAACTCAACAATGTTTACAATGACTTAAAAGTTTCTTTTCAACCAACAAAACCATGATGTTGGTTGAATGTCAATTATTTCATTATTACACTCATCTTACCTTAATTTTCAACTACTTAAACATGCTTACTTTCATTTCTATTTTTCTAACTTCACATTATTATATTTTTATCCTTAAATGTTTCAAATTTTAAGATTTTCTTACAATATATTGTACCACTATTTCATTTTAAAAGAAGAAGAAAAATTAATAATATAATAAGTTCAAATTCGTAATATAGAATAATAAATTGTAATGTGAAATCTAGTATTATAACGGAAAGGTTAAGTTTATATCAACTTAAACTTTTAATAACAATAATTGATAATCATCTATTCATTGGTCAATAAGTGATCGAGTATCTTCTACTTAAGATCATTATATTACCCTGTTAATGTTTTTGTACTAAATTAAGTTATTATTAATTATTATTATTTTTACATTTTAACCTTAATTTATGAGGAAGTAGTATGAGAGATCTGTTAGATCTATATTATCCTTGCATTTGGATGACAACCGCATAAACATTATAATTATGTCTCATAAGGTGAAAAGGGAGGAAAAAGAAGAAAAAGGGAACAAATTTACATGAAATTATTTGTCTTTAGATTTTGCAATTCTTTCAAGATAAATGGTATCTTGAATAACATCATTTTTTACCCCCCTTGAAAAAAAAAAATCAAATAAAAGTTACATTCTCTTATATTGATACTAGTACAGTATTATTTTTTAGGAAATAAATAAAAAGATCATAAAATATATATATATATATAATTTCATTAAATTCAGGGTAAAATATGAGCACAACTAATAACTAACAACGTTAATATGTGTTAATATATAATTCTGTAATAATTTTTTACCATAAACTTTATCCAATAATTAAGGCTTTTGCTCCTACTTTCGTAAACATCTGCAGGTGTTTACTGATCAATATTTTTACTCCCCCACCCACTTTCAATCTCTATTATATTAATGCCATTAAACAGCTAATTAAATATCTAATTAATAATTTCGTCTTTCCAATTAATGGCTAGTTTCCTATGTTCTTCATTAGGATTAGGTTTACACTAGCTTAGAACATTTTTTATTTAGGTTCTAAATAATTGTACTCAACCACTTATTTGCGGTTTATCTGATGAATTTAATGAGAATAAATAATTCTCTTAATTTCTCTCTTAATTCTTTCTAGTAGGGCATTTCCAACCCATTCTATTTTGATATAAAAACACCAAAATAGCGTGAAAGTTGGCCTCCAACCCAATGTCAAACATTCACCAATTTAGTGTCAATATATAGTATCATGCAAAATTTGTTGTAGCATTATTCATACATACCAATTTGGCGTGGCACTGTTCAAACACTATAATTTTTTTTTTTTGTTATTTATATTTATGTTAATTTGATTATTATTTATATTAATATTTATAATAATAAATTCATAAATATTAATATAATTAAAAAAATAATGAAAAATTAAAAACAAAACTTTATTCAATGCAAATATTAAACTACAATAACTCAAAATAAAAATTTACACTAATTTAAAAACATTAAAATTAAAAGAAAATACAACATAAACTAAAATAATAATTTAGTATTCCGGTAGATTGAGTGCCGTGATGGAAGCGCCAACTCCCGAAGTTGAAATTATCGTAGATGAAAATGTCTGGTTTTCAAAATTTTCTTGCTCGACATAGATAAATTAAGGATACAGAAGCTCACCATGCTCTTCGAAATGCATTAGTGGGAAGGATATACTAATTTAGAAAACTAAATTACTATCGATATATAATTTTACTTTTGTGTTGTTGTCCTCTTTTTTTTTTTTTTTTTTTGTTGGTATCATTTTATATTAGATGTACTATTTTTCTATATTAAATATAATGTTTATTTGATTAAATAAATGCTTAATTTTATTAAATTAGTATAATTTTTAAAGTAATTATTATTTAATAAAAATATCATTCTCAATATTTAATTAATATATACAAAAATAAAGAGTGAAATAGATTAATTGTTGATTATTACATAGAAAGAAGAAGAAAGAAAATATTATGAGGAATATTCATTTTGGTGTAATATTTAGTGCAATAAATTAGAGATACAATAGTATTTCACATAAAAAATTATACCAATTTGGTATGAAACTTATGCCAATTTAGTGCAACGGAGATGGTCTTAGTCTCTCATGTCTCTTCTCTCTCTTTCATTTCTATTATTTCTAATTTTCTATACAGAATTCTAACACTAAGGGAGAACAACATTTTCCCACCCAAGGTTTGGTGAAATGACACTTTCACACCCTTCAAGTTTCAAAATAATACTTTCCCACCCTTTATTAGGTTTTGTTATATTTTCCGTTAATATTTTAATAAAAAGACAAAAATACCCTTAAATATTTGATTTTATAATTTTTAATTAGCCAAAAAGTCAAATATTGAAAAGTAAAAAACGATAAAATAATTAACCATACCTAAAAATTTAAGAGTAATGTTATGGAATTGTTTAAAGTTAAATAAACTTTATATTTATTTATTTATAATGTCATCAATATCCCATCACTATTATTAAATAATCTAC